CTTGAAATCCGTCATCTCCAACCTCAAATCAATCGTGCAGATCCAACTCACACCAGAGAACTATTCTATTTGGAGATCACAAATCTCTAAGGTTCTTCGGGCAAATGGGTTTGAATCTTTTCTGCACTCTCCTTCTTCTCAAACCCCACCTCTTCTTCCTCATACCGATGATTCTACATCGCAAAATCACGCTCCGTCCACCTGGTTACTCACCGACCAGAACTTAGCCGCTGCCATTTGCTCCACTATCTCCTCTCCGATCTTGCCCTATATCATTCACCTCGATTCCACATTTGAAATCTGGCAAACCCTTGAAACCCGGTTTCAATCAACCAACCGGTCTAAGGTCATTCAACTAAAGAATGCCCTACATCACATTTCACTCAAGAATTCAACCATTACTCAATACCTTTTAGATATCAAATCTCTTGTAGATCAAATTGTTGCTGCCGGTTCCACTCTGGATACCGAAGACATCGTTCTTCATATTCTTAATGGGCTCCCTCCTCCTTATCAATCCTTTAAGACCTCCATTCGCACTATGTTATCTCCCATCAGTCTTGACAACTTGTACGCCCTTCTTCTTAGTGAAGAGATAAATCTTGCTTCCGATGTCGCTCGGACCATCTCTGTCGATCAAAACACGGCGTTATTCTCAAGCCGTGGCCGCGGACGACAATCCAAGGGGCGCTCCTCCGCCAACTCATCAAGATCCTCCTCCACCCCGAGCATTACTTGCCAAATTTGCCAAAAAAGGGGTCATTCAGCGAACTCATGCTGGCACTGCCTTAACCTGCAGTATGTTCCTCCGTCGCAGAACCAGTCCAATACCGCCCTGCTTGCTGGAAATTCAAGATCCACTGAAGAATGATATCTTGATTTAGGCGCGTCGTCTCACCTCACCAATTCTCTAGAGAATTTAACAATCTCTCAATCATACCGAGGTTCAGACGGAGTAACCATCGGTGACGATAGTTCAGTCGGTATAGCTCATTCCGGTTCAGGTGTTCTTCCAACACCTGCTCGTAAGTTAGTTCTATCTAATATTTTACATACCCCATCCCTTCAATATAATCTCATTTCTATTTCGCAACTCACAAAAGATAACAATCTCTCTATCACCTTCACTCCTAATGGTTTTGTTTTGAAGGACTTACAGACTCAGGAGACACTTCTTCAAGGTCCGTGTATTCAAGGTCTCTATCCGATCAATCCCATAACTGATTGCAAGCCTCAGCATCAAGCGAACGCAGCCGCATCAGCACCTTTGTTCTCCTGGCATAATCGGCTAGGACACCCGAATAAAAGAACTTTACATACTATAGCTCTTTCTAATCCTTCATTACATATAAACAATACTAGTCTTGTTTGTCATTCTTGTAATACGTCCAAGACTCACAAGATTCCGTTCGAAAGATCTTCTTGTCGAACAAAATCTGTGTTAGATTTGATACATACGGACGTCTGGGGTCCTGCACCTGTTGTTTCATCTAATGGTTTTCTTTACTACGTACTCTTCGTAGACGATTTTACTAGATTTACTTGGCTTTTTCTGATACGTTTTAAGTCTGATGTTACTCCTCTTTTTATTGATTTCAAGATCATATTAAGAAACTCACCTCCAAGCAAATAAAATGCATTCGTACTGATGGCGGAGGTGAATATCTCAATCATTCGTTTACTACTTTTCTTAAAACGCATGGCACAAGTCATCAGATTTCGTGTCCGTATACGCTTGAGCAAAACGGCATCGCCGAACGCAAGCACCGGCATATAATTGAAACATCAAGATCATTTCTATCTACAGCTAACGTCCCTTACCTTTATTGGCCCGACGACGTCCTCACTTCAGCGTACTTAATTAACCGGATGCCTTCTCCCACTACTCAGAACAAATCGCCTTTCGAATTACTTTACAAAATCAAACCGCAATACACTCATATACGTACTTTTGGTTGTGCGTGTTTTCCTTTAATACCACCTCATGATCTCCATAAATTGCAACTCAAAACAAAGTCATGTGTGTTCATAGGTTATTCTGATAAATATAAAAGCTAAAGTGTTTCGACATTTCTACCTCCAAAGTCACTATTTCTAGGAATTTAACGTTTGATGAACAACATTTCCCTTTCTTGGTTCCTTTTAGCGCATCCTCTCAGAATATCAACCCAACTCCGCCAGCACTACTGATCCCTCATTCGGTGCATCAACAACAGCAGCACAATCAACCTGTCAAGTACCATCCTTCACCAATTATTTGTGCATCTCTAGAGCCGCCCATAGCTGACAATGATCCTCACAGCTCTCCCATTCCCAGCTGCAAACCCGTTACCATCTGCAATTTTGATAAAGAACAACCTGCTCTCCCTATGAACAAACATTCCATGGTGACCCGCAGCAAAACAGGTTCTACAAAACCAACACTTCGGTTCAATCTTTTTCACAAGAACCAGACTCCAGAACCGGCTCTTGATCCCTCTTGTTACATGGATGCAGTCAAAAAGTTTGAATGGCGTAACGCAATGGTGGAAGAGTTTCTAGCCCTGCAAAAACAGGGTACGTGGACGCTTGTACCTTCACCAGACTCAGGTGTACTAGGCTGTAAATGGACCTATCGTACCAAGCATCACGCCGACGGATCAATCGCCAAGTACAAAGCTCGTATAGTAGTTTTAGGCAATAACCAAGAATTTGGCACAGATTATACCGAAACGTTTAGTCCCGTTGCTAAATTGCATATTATCCGCATTTTACTTGCTATCGCTATACAGAATGATTGGCAGGTTCAGCAGCTAGACCTAGCAAACGCCTTCTTGCATGGACAACTTCAAGAAACCGTCTACATGAAGCAACCACGTGGTTTCGAGGATCCAACGCATTCGGACTATGTGTGTCGGCTACACAAAACTCTATACGGCCTCAAACAAGCTCCACGCCAATGGTATAATATTTTCACGGAACAACTTCTTCTTCTTGGCTTCATAAACAGTAAATCTGATCCCTCTTTGTTTATACTCAATCAAGCTACATTTCAAATATTTTTACTTATTTATGTCGACGATATTTTAATTACCGATAATAACCCATCTTTGATTACTGAGATTGTGACACACCTAAGCTCAAGATTCACTATCAAACTTCTTGGGGAGGTACACAATTTTTGGGGTATTCAAATATCTCGGCACAATCAGCAGTTCTTTTTATCTCAGAAGCAATATGCCCTATCGATCCTTCAACAAGCTCAACTCCAATAATGCAATCCCATCGTCAACCCCTCCTGCACAAAGCTTCCAAAAGATTTCCAACAAGAAGCCTTGCTCTCGGATCCAACGCTATACAGAAAGCTCACGGGATCTTTACAATATTTAACAATTACTCGTCCCGATATTTCCTACAACGTCAATACCTTATCCCAACACATGCAAAATCCTTTACCGCAACACGTTTTTCTTCTCAAACGGCTTCTTCGTTACATCAAAGGTACGTTGGAGTTCGGTTTACCTATTTCAAAATCTAATTTAGAACTTACTTCCTTTTCAGATGCCGATTGGGTCGAGGATCCAATGACTCGCAAGTCTACCACCGGTTTCTGCTCCTTTTTAGGCGACAATTTGATCTCTTGGACGGTAAAGAAGCAACACACAGTCACCCGCTCATCCACGGAGTCAGAATATCGAGCCCTCGCCGCACTTACTGCCGACGTTATCTGGCTTCGCAAAATTCTGGATGAATTCGGCATACCTCAAACTACACCGACCAATATATTTTGTGATAACATGTCGGCGATTGCCCTCGCAAACAACCCGGTATTCCATGCTAGGATGAAGCATATAGAGATAGATCAAAAGTTCATCCGGGATCACATTCTACACAACAACATTCATATTCTACCTATCAACACTATTGATCAAACTGCTGACATTTTCACTAAGTCCTTATCTACACCGCGGTTCCACGCTCTCAGGCTCAAACTAACGGTTATCCATAACCCATTAGTTTGCGGGGGAATATTAGGAAATAAACCAAATGTAATTAAGTAATATTGATAATGAGCTGGCATTATATTATTGGTCAGCTAGTTATTTCTCCTGTATAGGCTTGTCTATATATAGGTTCTACTGGCTCTGTAATGAAGACATACGAGATACAAATTCTCTTTCTCTGTCTCTCTGTTCTGTGTCAAGAACCGTAAGGTTCAGCTCAAGAACCCAAGGGGTCTACAAGTTCTACAGTTTCTACCAGTGTCGTGCATCGTTGCAAATGGGTTTTAATGCATAAATTTCATATAGAGGCAAAGGTATTTCAAAACTGTCTTTTGCAGATGGCGAGACATGGCTTTTAGGAAAGCTAAAGATGCCAAAAGCGTTGTTAGGTTCAACTCATCAATAATAATAAAAAAAGAAGTACGCTGACATATATAACTTTGGCATGGCAACTAAATAGCCTCCATGGAGAGTGGCAACGTTGATCCATGCCAACCCAACTGACCAAGAAAGTTCAGGTTGGGCAATCTTGTAGCCATGATTCATTTAAGAAAAATTGAATTTGCTAGATTATGTATAAGGTATTCCAAGAAGAACATTTGCAGCTATAATAGTATCTACATTAAAATTGTGAAAGAAAGCAAATAGGCATGCATCCATTATGACTATTAAAAACGAATTTTAAGTTACATTAAACTTTCCTATAAATAAGCATCATGCCGAAACACTACTTAGCTAATCAAATACTTTATGCAATTCATAATCAATTCAACCCAAGTATGATTATCAGAAGAAGTAATTTTACTTCCAGAGTGAAATAATTTCTAAATTTATGGCCTATTCATCAAAATAAAAAATTTGATTCCCTGAAATAAATGTTTAAATAAAAAGAATGATAAAAAGAAGCATTTCTAATATTTCTATCAAACATCATGAAGTGAACCTGAAGGAGCCAAATTCAGAATATTATAGCACATATGGAATGTAGCAAAAAGTGACATAAATGGGCGTACATACTTGTAGTGTTCTCCAGTTCTTTAGCAACATCCTGGGCACGCAGTTCAGCAGCTCGCTGTGCTGCCTCAGCTTGTCGTTTCTCCGAACGAGCACGAGCTGCTGCTGCGATTGAAGCATCTAATTCTCGTTCCAACGTCCCTACCCTCTGTTCTAGAGCCTGCTCAAAATTACGAGTAGAGAAGATGTCATCATAACTGAACCAAATATATTTAGTAATTGATGGTTTGATGGATGCATAGAAGTACATTAATCATAAAGAGATGGACCTTCAGAAAGAACATGAGTCTTCAATCAAAATTGTTGATGAATTTGATGGCCTTTGACTAGATTTTTTACTTATATTCGGTCAATGTTCACACCAATAATAAGTGATTTGATTAAGTCGAGTTAGTTCTTAGCATTTGACTTGATAGTTTAAAAACCAAGCATAACAAAGTCTCAGTTCTATCATTTTCTGCTCGTCTGCACTTTACAACCCTTGGCTGGACAATCTAAACACCACTTATAAAGGAATTCAGAAGAATTTAAAAGCTTTAGAAAAATCTCATTCCCAATCAACCCTTGATTCTTGATTCGATAAAAGCATGTCATGCTTCATACAGTACAAAATTGATTTAAATAAATCAATCCTAAGTTTTTAAATTAGTGATATAATGACCCGCTTATGTGCTTCATACACTGCGCAATGGATCATAAGACATCGAAAGCGTGAACCCTAAAAATCAGCATCCGCGATCGGGCTCATTGTTTTCCAATAAAAGAATAAATCGAATAAAGGAGTGGACAGAAAGAGTGACGGATTCAGGCCTTGATGTTTCTGGCCTGTTCGGCAATAAGGGAAGCCTTGGAGAAGGTGTCATCGTCGACGAACACGGCCTTCTTTGCCAGGATCTTCTGCAGGGAGTCTAAGTTCGCACTCATCTCTGATAGATTGACAATAGCTGCCTTCCACCTCTCGCCACCAGCCTTCTCCTTCTCCTTCTCCGCCATGGCTCCCCTTTCTTCTCCCAGATGAAACATGTGCCACATATATTAATTCCCTCACCTCCTGCAACCCGATTCTCAGATCATTTTGACAAAAAGCTTTCAAATCATTTATTCGGGTAATAAAATTTGATTAAAGATTAATAGTTTTAAGTAATAAAATTCTTTTCGATTCTAATTATATTAATTAATTAATTATTAATACAATTTAATATCACAATTAATCATTAAATAATAATTTATATACTAAATTAAATATAATATATTTTATTAAATTAAATTATATACAAATAATATTAATTTGTTCAAATTAATATTTTTAGTTAATTAATATAGATTAACTAAATTTTTTAATACATTTTATTTAATTAATAGAAGTTATGCTCCTTGTCCCCAAATTTTGCAAACCTTTCATGACAAAAGTTCTTGAATGTCTCGTTCGGCCAGTCATAGGACGTAGCTCTACGTTCGGCCGCCAATAGAATCGCACCACGCGTTCTCACTATTTACCGCGCGCCACGACAACCCGACCCAGAACGGAACCAGAATGGCTTGGTATTTCTCAATTTTGCTAGGTATTGCTCGGTATTACTAGGTATTGATCGATTTTGCTCGGCAATAACCAATGCCGAGCAAATATCGAGCAATACCGAGTTATACCGAGTTTTTCTAAAAACTCGGTACAATTCGGTATTTCTCGGTATTGGTCTTCACATAGCGGTATTTCTCGTTATTGTCAAGCAATACCTAGTAATACCGAGCAATATCTCGCAATACGAGAGCATAGCATTCCCGGGTTTCGGTTCGGGTCAAGTCGTCCGGCCGCGCGGTAAAGAGTAAGAGCACGTGGCGACATTTTATTGGCGGCCGAACGTAGCTCTACGTCCGGTCGAAAGGAGCTCGCCAGAGAAGGCATTGATATGGTCAGTGGAATGTAGTGGAAACGAGAAGTTTGTGACCTACATATTTAAGCTAAATCCCAGAATTCCCGAACTTCATTGCTCATGATAATTACCCTTTTATTTTTAAGGGGGTTGTATATTTTAGATATACTTATTGGTTTTCATACATCATAGATTAAAATTTTCGGAATAATAAGTTCTGATTAGTTCAGATTTATCATGTTTTAATATTGAAATAATGTAAAAGATGCATATTCTTATTACTTAGTTTTTTTTTTTTTTGGTCAACATGAAACATGTAGTTTGCAATAAATTTTTTTTATAATAAGTTCATCAAATATATTCTTAATTCCTTAATTATTACTATTTCAATAGGATGAATTATATATAATGAAGAGCGGCGGAGCCAGAAATATTTCTGGTGTAGGCACAAAATAAATGTTTTAGATAATCTCTCAATTTTTTATTTGTAGTTGAGGTTGACATTGATAGCTTTATAAAAATTTTATTTAAATATTTTATTTTAATTAGATTAAAAAAATAAGATAATTAAAAACTTATAATTTATTGCATATACTTATAGTGTTGTTTATTTTATTATCAATACAATCAAATATTTATTTCTCAACATAAGTGATTAAACTATTGTTCTTTCAATGCTCTCTAATTCGATTTCATAGTAAAGCTTGTTCAACTTATATTACATGCATTGATTTTAAAATATTTTTTGTAGGACAAGGGGTCCCCTAACTCTGCCTATGAGACTAGGCTGTAACTATTCCTTTCAAATGTTGGACTTAATAATTTTTTAGGACACCATATCTCTTAGTGCCTTAATCTTTTCATTATCAAATCCCGTGGTGGGTAATCATGAACCCAAGAATTTTCCTGGGGAGACTCTCAATGAATACTTGGTAGGATTGAGATGCATTTTGTAGGATCAAAGGAGGTAGAAGCATTATTTCAAGTTAGAAATATGCTGTGATTTTTCAATACTTTTCACCAGCATATCATCTACATATATTTCCACAGTGTGCCTTGTAAGGTATTTAAAAACCATGTTCATGAGGTGTTGATACGTGGCTCCGGTATTCTTGAGTCAAAATGACATGATCTGATATCAGTATAGTCCTTCATCAGTGTAGAAAAATGTTGTCTTCTCATCTACGGGGTCTATCTAGCTTTATCTTGTTATAGTTTAAATATGCATCCATAAAACTCAAATGTGATGCTTGGATGTGGCATCAACCAGTTGGTCAATATGAGGAAGCAAAAAATTATCCTTTGGATAAGCTTTATTGAGGTTTGTGTAGCCTACACACATCCTCTAAGCTCTGCTAGCTTTCATAACCATGATAACATTTGTAAGTCATGTGAGATAATGTACTTCCCGTACTAAGCCTGCTTCTAGAAGTTTATCAATTCCTATTCGATTGCTTGCTAGCAATCCAGCACAAACTTTTGTTTCTTCTAGATAATTAGCTTACATGGTGGGGTTATTTTGAGGGAATGTATGATTATCTCCAATTCAACTTCATGCATATATGTTGGACTCCAAGAGAAATTGTCTTGATTCCTACTTAGAAAGTCTACACATTTTCCCTTCTCCTCCTTTAAGAGAAAAGATCTAATATGCACCATTCTTAAATGGCGCTCATCTGATATGGAGATGCAGGTAAGGTCTTTTACAGGGGAAGCCCTATGAGGAACTTCTTCATTATGGAGGCCAAAGTTCTCAATACTTAAAGTAACTGGCGAACATGGTTGAGTCTGTCTATGATAACACAATTGTGCCACTTTTTGGTTTCACGCATCATGCTAATCCCAAATGGGGTCAAAAGCTTTAGTTTGAGATGCGAAATGGAGGTAATAGCTCAAAAAATTGATTGGAGGGGCCTCCCAATGATAGTGTTGTAAGCTAATTTTGACTTCACTATAATGAATTGGATTGGATGAATAACTTGCCTAGCAAATTCTCTAAGTGTGATAGGGAGACTAATCATTCCTTCTACCTATACAAGTTGGTTATCGAACACATAGAGTGGCCATATAGAAAGCTGGAGCTTTTCTCTAACCAAGCACATACTAGGAAAGGTGGATATAACATAATATCTATTGAGCTTCCATTGTCAACTATTTTTTTATTTTTATTAACTTCCATTGTCAATTAAGATTTTTTTAACATTGAAATACGGGTCGCCAATCCCCACATTAATTATGAGTGGATCTTGATGATAGGTCTGAACGTCCTCCAGGTCAGCCTCACCAAAAGTAAGAGAGTGGTCAATACGAGAATTCTTATGTGCCAGCTCCTCATTCACCACAAGTAAGATTTGGTTAGACAATAACAAGCCTCCAGTAATGGTTTCGATCTCACTAACCATTTGATAATTATTCTGCGGTTATCTTTACATCGGTTGCCTCGAAGTAGGAGGAGTGTCTTTATGCCAGAAAGGTTTTACATGAACTGACTAAGGTAGTCCTATTAGATCAGCCATTCGATTTCCTTCTTGAGTTGTTTGCATGGTTCAGTTGTGTGTCCAAAACTATGGTGGAAGTAGTAGAATTACTCATATTTTTTAAGTTTAGCTTTAAGAGATTTGATCTCTTAACATTTTCTTTATCTCAAATGGCCATTAGAACATTTTTTTTAAACGTTTTAAGATGTGTATTCTCCTTCTCTAGTTGAGTCTCATGTCAAGACTGTGAAGATCGAGGGGGAAGGCTATTACCCCCCTACTTCACTACAGGAAAATCGTCTATTACCAGCGGATTTTTCCGGCGGCTTGCCGATAGCCGACTTTTCCGACGGTATTCCGTCGGCTTTTCGGCGTCTTAAATTTCAGAAAAAATTCCAACGGTTTTCCGGCGACTTACAGGCAGTTTTACGACGGTTTTGTTTCCGGCGGCTCTTCCATCGATTTACCGGCGGTTTTTTCGGCGGCTTTCCAGCTTTACCGGCGGCTTTTAACAATTAATTTAATTAATTAGTACTTTTATTTTATTTTAATTAATTAATTATTAATTTATTTTAATTAATTATTAATCTAATAACTTATTCTAATTAAGTATTAATAAAATAACATATTTAATTAATTATTAACTTTAATATATTATTTTAAGTGTTACTGAAAATCCCTGATGTTACCTTATAAACCGCCGGAAAAAACCGTCGGTATTGGCTGTTTTTCCTGTAGTTCTTCTTTCGCACTATGATAATGAATCATCCATCCTTGATGTATTTTTATGCTACCAAATTGTTTTCTCCAATTGATTCTTATGGGCATTGATGGTTTCATCTACTAAGATCTGTGCTTCTACATAATGAATCTCGTCAGCATATGAATGTATTATGTCTCATATAAGTGCTAAGTAAAATGAACCAGGATGGAGCCCCCTGAGGAAAACTCCTCTTAGTAACTCAAGATCTACCCCTAAAATTTGTCGATCCTCGACAGACAACCTTTGGAAGTATTCTTTGAGTGACTCTCTTTCATTCTATTTAATCCCAAAGAGATGAGAAGAGTCCTTAGCAATTCTTCAATTAATGACATGCTATTTGACAAACAATTTGGTCAACTTAACAAACATGATAATAGTTTTGGTTGGAAGAGTGTAGAATCATGTGTGAGTTTGCCCTTTGAGTGTAGCAGGAAATACTTGATAAAAGAAGGCATTTGATGATTGTTGAATATGTATATGGTTCTATAGTGATCAATATGCTTGTAAGACTCAAATGACCCATCATAAGAGTCTGTGCTTGGCAATTTAAAGCCCACGGGGATGGGGTGTTGAAGGATGAATTTAGTTAGGGAGGATGACTCTTGAAAGTCCCAATAATACAGAGGTTGTCTTCTACTTCTTAACGGAAACTCTTCTGAGACCAATTATCATAGTTCATTATGTGGGACATTGTGCGGGATTTTAACAATGTTAGGTCATTATGTGGGACATTGTGCGGGATTTTAACAATGTTAGGTGGTTCCAAGTCCTCAACAATGATTAGAGGGATGCGAGTTGGTTGACCAGTGCAAGAGTGATAAGTAGAGCTAACTATGTCAATATATCAAGGTTTGGCTGTGACAAGGGGGTTACTCCTTTACTGAAGGAGAGGGGTCTCTAATGAACATGTTCAGGTCGAATAACATCAAGAAGTGATAGATCTGAAGGGAGAGGGTCTC